TTTATATATAGGACTGACTTTGTTATTTTTTAATTCCGCGGGAAAAATGCCGGTAGTCAGAACTTTGTTTATTAAGACGGTGATAGTTTCTAAAATATGCTCTCTCAAATTCAAAAGGTCTCTTACAGTTATTTGATCATCGCCAGGGGCAGAATTTTTTTTAAGCTCCAATATGAATTCATTGACTTCATTTTGGTTTGTTAATTCCAGATTTATTGCACTGGCATCACAACTTATCTCTGTAAATGCTTGATTGATCCCTAACCTAAACTTTGAATATTGTATAGTACTTCATTAGCTATTGTTTTACCTATCTCCGAGAAATGTTTATTCATATTCTCGGTAATATCTCTTTGATTCGTAATAATTTTTTCATTTATATTTAATGAACCAATTTCAGTAGAGTTATTATTATTTTTGAAGAAACTATTAATGAATTTCCACTGCTTTTTACTGTTAGTACCTGCATCATTCCATTTTTTTTGAAAATATTTGTTTTTTGCTAATCTTATTTTATTATTTAATTTGTTTTTGATATTCTTAAAAATCATTACTGAGTTGTAGATTACCTGGGTTTTTTATTTTATTTTCATATGCCTTATCCCGCAATCTCATCATCTCCAGAATATCCTGAGTCATCCAAATGTTATTTTCCCTTATTTTAATGAACTTTGTATAAGTAGACTTACTTTTTATATTAACAATCAGATCACTCAATTCCCGAAACGATGAGACATTCGCCTCTACAATTTGCTCCCTAAACAGTGAGGTACATTTTTTATGATCAACTATTTTAATGCTGTGTTCTACTTTAGGTTTGTATATCTTAGGGTGATTGCTTATTCTAAAATATAATCGAAAGTGATCTGACAAGGGGTTTGGTTTTACATCTACTACTTTTATTAAATTTGAGAATTTGTCAGAAATAACATGATCTATTATACTATTACTATATTCGGTAACTCTAGTTGAGTGTTTTTGAGAGATTGTGTTGTTGATGTGAAAATTACTAACAGTTAATATATTTTTGTAAACTGTAGTTATTTTATTAACATCCAATAAATTTATATTAATATCACCAACCACAATATGTTCTTTAGGATGCTTAGTAATAATATTTTCTATATCTTTGAAAAATTCAACATAGGAGGGTGGCCTATAAACTGCACTTAGTTTCAAATTTTGATTAACTAGTTCAATATATACCTAATTTAAATTGCTACTAGTTGACGAACGATCAATTTCATGAAATGCATAATGATTTTTTTATAAATATGGATACTCCTCCTCCTCTAGACTCTCTACAGGAGTGCGCAGAATCAAAACCATCAAAATTATATAGAAAAGTTTCCTCCTGATTTAACCATGTTTCAGACAGAATCAACTCATCACAGCCACTATCCTTTACAAAGCATTGCACATCTTCCAGTTTATTCCTAAGACTCTGAATATTCATATATACAACCTGGATTTCTTTCTTCTGAGACTCTATTAGTTTTTTAATTGCTCTTCATCCTTGATTACGATAACCTTCGTGTTATCTCCTTCCCTTAAAAATATGTTGCCATCAGCGAACCATACATACTTGAAGTTGTTATCTCTTCTAAATTTTTTGGCAGCCATAAATAGTTTTAAGTTTGTTTCAGTTAGGTCGGGGTTTAGATATATTTTATTATTTGTAGAGAACCCAAAATCCTTGGATTCAAGGTACTGTCTTTTCTTTGACTTAAAGAGTTTGTTTTTTTCTTCACTATCTTCCATTTCTATCTTGATGGGGCTATTTACGCCTCTGCCAAGGCGATATGCTTTAAAATCGCGTTTTATTGGTACTTCTAGTTTTTGACCCACCTTCCTAACAATATCTGCAATATTCTCGTCATCATTATAGGGTATTCCCTGTATAATAATATTATTCTTCAGTTTGTCTTGTTCCATTTTGTTGAGTTGGTTTTTAATTTTGGCGACTTCGTCCTGAAGCTTTTCATTCACTTTTATTTGATCATTGTACTTCAAAAACAAGGCATTATATTTATTTTCCATAACTTCCAATTTATCCATCACATCCGCTAAGGTATAGTTCCTTTTTTGTTTGTTGTTTTCATTTTTTCCCAACTTGCAAGTGTTGCAAAACCATTTTTCTGAAGATTTGCTGTTTTGTAAATAGGCTTTTTTCGTCATTGGGATGCACGTACGGTGACTCCATTTCGTGCAGCCATCGCAGAGCAAGCCATCCTGATCATCATCGACCAGATTGGAGCATGTACCGCATAGCGTTGGGTCGTCCGTGCCTACCATGCTGGTTGATCCGGCAGCGCCGCACCAGCTCGAACAGCAAAATAATCCGCCAACAATAACCTCTAAACTCGTTGCACTAGGCTATTATCGAAGTATTTCACAAATTTTCCTTAAATCACTCGCCAAATTATATTCCTTCGACGCACTTTTATACTCTTAAAACGATGATACTAATCTTAGAATTTATTTACGACTTTTTCGGGTAAAAATCTCCTTAAAATCGCACTTCAGCCAACTACGTAAACACCGCGCTGTTGCCGGTATTTAACAATGCAATTACTCACTTTTTGATTTGAATACAGGGTGTCCCACGGTGGATGGCGTATTAGACGTTTATAGAGAACTAAAAAGCGGATCATTTTGAAAATTTGGCAACCGGGATAAACGACCATAATCTACACTTTAAAAATATTTTTGTTTATGCGGTGTTGCCGCTTCTACTCTAAACCAGTGGCAACATCGCTATTTTAAATGAAACACCCTGTATGTGATTGCATATTTGGATTCTACGTAAAATTCTGAGCAGATTTTATGTGATATACCCTATACCTAAGTTCAACTGTTTTGGAAATATTGACAGTTGAAAATTGACTTTTTGCAACTTTGACAGGCTGTAAAACCTAAACGGTTAATTTCAGAGGAAAACCGATCTTACATTCCTATCTTAAATTTTCGTAAACTATCATTTGACACCAACTTTGAATTTAACCGGAGATTAAATTTAATTGGAATTTTTAATCATGGATTAAATTCAAAATTGGTGTCAAATGATATTTTTTAAAAATCTAAGATAGGAATGTAAAATCGGTTTTTCTCTAAAATTAACCGTTCAGGTTTTACAGCCTGCCAAAGTTGCAAAAAGTCAATTTTCAACTGTCAATATTTCCAAAACAGTTGAACTTAGGTATAGGGTATATCACATGAAATCTGCTCAGAATTTTATCTAGAATCCAAATATGCAATTAAATACGGGGTGTTTCATTTAAAATAGCGATGTTGCCACTGGTTTAGACCAGAAGCGGCAACACCGTATGGTCAAAAATATTTTTAAAGTGTAGATCATGGTCATTTATCCCGGTTACCAAATTTTCAAAATGATCCGCTTTTTAGTTCTCCATAAACGTCTAATACGCCATCCACCGTGGGACACCCTGTATATATTCAATTTAAAATGTCAACTGTTTCAATATTTGAATTTGAATGATACAATATTCGAATAGTCGAATATTCGAATAGTCGAATATTCCAATAGTCGAATATTCCAATAGTCAAATATTCGAATAGTCGAATATTTAGTCGAATTGGCTAACTAACAAAAAAGTCGAATTTAGAATAGTCGAATATTCAAATTATTCGAATACAATTCCGAGCCCAAATTTCTTGTGCTTTTGCATCTTGGAAATGGAAATCCCATTTCTTTTGTTCCTTACCTTGTGCTGTAGGCCTCAATTCTGTTCCCGACTGTGTCAAAATACCCCCAGCTTTTCAAAATTACCTGGGTTTGAAATTTCCAGGCTAGCCCGTTTTCACCATTCAACTTCATTACAATTTCTCTTGAATTTCTTTTCTGTTTATATTTTTTTTCAATTCCTGGCCTTTGATTTTTAGTTTTCTTCAAAGAAAATCATTGTAGAACAATACTTGTTTATCAATTTTTAAACAAAGAAATTCCAAGAGCCTGCAATAGAAATAATATATTTCTACAAGTCTCATCATTTTTCTCTATTTTTTTTTTTTTTAATTTCTCTTCCTCTGATCCTTATTCACACCTGGAATAGACTAATTACATATTTTGATTTGTCTATCAATTTTCCACAAGTTCTCATCAATTATGCATTTCTGTGTGTTTTCTTTCTCTCATTGAGAAATTTCCAGAGCCTGGGTTAAACAAAAAATGAGGCAAAAATATAGTAGAACATATTTTTGAAAAACTGTATTCGTTTCAGCTCATTTTTACTTTTCATTATTGTTGTGAAATAACTCACAACACTACATATAAATTTACATTATTTATCATGCTTTGGTTATTAAGCTTTTACTTTGGATCCAATAACCGTATTACCTAACTTCTGCTGCAATTGGTGGGACAGGTGGTGCAAAAAGGTAACTAGGTATAGGTAATCACCTGACTGGTCGTTTCTCGCACCAGAAAAAGAAAAAGTCAATCAGTTGAAATAATTTGTCAAATAGTAAAAAGACTTCAAGGGGAATTCCTCTCTCTAATCCTCCTTTCGGCACTTCTCACAGCAAAGTTGTAAGCTACTGATCCGAAACGCCTTTATTCTGTTATTCTAGTATAATTGTGATTTTAAACGTTAAGGTATTTGTATATTTCGCGCAGTTTATTCAGAAAATAAATTTGCTGATTATTGTTGAGACAATTCCTTGGTGCTTTCACCTGGTCCTTCGAAAACAGTAAGTACAAAATCCCTTGAGCTGTATTAGAAGTTAGCCGCTCCTGGGTACCAGCAACCTATTTGGATCTCGGCGAATGTAAGTGAAAAATATTCCCTCACAATTATTATTTATTTTCATCAGGTATAAAGTCGGAAAAAGAATAGTACAAAGCTTGGTAAAAAAAATTTTTCAGAATTTTTGTGGGTCATCTTATGTTTTTGAGTTTTTTTTTTGTTTATTTTCTTCATTATATTATGTTACCTTCAGATAACATGTGCTTGATTTTTCGTTTTTGTAATTCTTTCAAGACCCTTCGACGAAAAAGAATCCCGAGGCCGGTCCAGAATGGCAGTCAACTGCATATCGCCCAGAGAAATCCAGACGAAAGACAAAAAATACTACTACGATAGGGTTTTCCAACCCGATTGCAACCAGCTGGACATTTACTCGTACGTCGTCGAGCCGATGATCAACGACGTACTCGCCGGATACAATTGCACCGTTTTCGCTTACGGACAAACTGGTACGGGAAAAACGCATACCATGACTGGAGGAGATCCTAGTTCCCTGTCTTCACTGGATTGGAGACGAGTAAGTAGCAAACTAACTTAAAAAAAAAGCTTTTTACAGCAAATTTGAAGCATTATTTTCACAAGAATTCAACTTATTGAGGCTTCAAACAAGCCTTCAATTCTTGATACTTTAATGTTTTAAAATTTAATCAAAATGTTCCCCATGATTTTGTAGTAAAAAATCTTCTCAAAATAAAATTATTTCTACCTGCTATCTTCTGGTCTGTGGGATTCTAATAAAGGCAGGTAGAATCTATTTTTAGCAAATCTGAATGATTAAATTAGTTGGTCATTCATATAATAAATATTTATTTTGCTTTGTTTTTTTCGAGGTTTTTTTAATACTTGATTTTTGATGCCTCAAATTGAAAATTAAGAATTTATTCAATTGAATTTTTCTTTATTTCAGGACGAAAAAGCCGGTTGTATTCCCAGAGCGGCCGCCAACATATTCGACGAAATCGCTTCAATGAAAGTAAATGATTACAACGTCCGTGTATCATTTTTGGAACTTTATAACGAAGAAGTACGAGATTTACTGAATCCGGACGAGCGCCAGCCACCATTAAAGTAAGTCGAATTTTAACCCAAAAAGAGCATTTGAAATAGTAAAAATAGCTTAATAGGCAAAAATTATTAATTAAACTGAATCAATATAGTAGAGTGCCCAACGCAGTTAAAGCCTTCTAAAAATGAGTTTTGTGGGCGCGTCGAGGTTACAAGCTGAAACTTGCACAGAATGAAGGTTTTATTATACTTTTTATTACTGCTTGAAATAAACCGAATACATTGACCCTTACGGTAAAATAAATCTAAAAATTGAAATATCTCCGTTAAAACCTAAGCAAAATCTGATTGAAATATGTACAGGGTGTCCCACGGGGGATGGCGTATTAGACGTTAATGGCAAACTAAAAAGCGGATAATATTGAAAATTTGGCAACCGGGATAAACGACCATAATCTACACTTTAAAAATATTTTTGTTTATGCGGTGTTGCCGCTTCTCTCTAAACCAGTGGCAACATCGCTATTTTAAACGGAACACCCTGTATGTGATTGCATATTTGAATTCTACGTAAAATTCTGAGCAGATTTCGTGTAATATACTCTATACCTAAGTTCAACTGTTTTGGAAATATTAACAGTTGAAAATCGACTTTTTGCAACTTTGACAGGCTGTAAAACCTGAACGATTAATTTTAGAGGAAAACCGATTTCACATTCCTATCTTGGATTTTTATAAACTATCATTTGACACGACACCAACTTTGAATTTAATCAATGATGGAAGATTCTAATTAAATTTTATATCCGGTTAAATTCAAAGTTGGTGTCAAAAGATAGTTTATGAAAATCTAAGACAGAAATGTAAAATCGGTTTTCGTCTAAAATTAACCGTTTAGGTTTTACAGCCTGTCAAAGTTGCAAAAAGTCAATTTTCAACTGTCAATATTTCCAAAACAGTTGAACTTAAGCATAGGGATATCACATGAGATCTGCTCAAAATTTTATGTAGAATCTAAATATGCAATCACATGCCGGGTATTCTATTGAAAATAGCGATGTTGCCATGAGTTTAAAGTAGAAGCGGCAACACCGTATGGTCAAAAATATTTTTAAAGTGTAGATCATGGTCGTTTATACAGCTTGCCAAATTTTCAAAATTATCCGCTTTTTAGTTCTCCATAAACGTCTAATACGCCATCCACCGTGGGACACCCTGTATATTAATTTTTGCATTCACCTTATCCCCGAAATGAAGGATCAAATCAAAAATTTTTATTCTTGCAAAAAGTTTGCTCCATGTATGTAAAATATACAGTGTGTCCCATATGTGCAAGAATAATTTTTTTGTCTCAAATCTTAAGGGAAATATAGATATAAAAAAAGAATTCTTCTAGCCGCGGTGGCCCGCTTTCGCGCTGCAGGAGTACTCTTCCATCTCACTTTTCTCCGTAGCTCCCTTTCTCTCTCGCCAATTGTACAATTAGACGGTCAGATAGTGACATATTTAGGTGCTCCATTTCCGCATACAAGCCTCGAAGAGGATTGAAAAGTACATCGATTTTGAGTAGGATGAAGGTATTTTTACAAATGGCTCCTGGGGATACTGTATAGAAAATTCGATTTTCCTCAACAGAAATGAAAGACGTCCTAGTGCCCATATTTTCTCGCAAGCCGTGTTCACCAAAGGATTAATTTAAAAAACCTGGCTTCGTGAAAACAAGGAAGGGGTTGCAGGTGGCTAAAGCCCATCGGAAGGATGAAAATCTACAATTCCGGTACCAAAAAAGCATATTTTCTTGAGTGTCGCTAACGAAAATAACATTCAAGGGTAACATAAGTAAAATCGAATTTTCCATATGTTATCCCCAGGAGCTACTCGTAAAAATACCTTCAACCTTCTCAAAATCGATGTACTTTTCAACCCTCTTCGAGGCTGGTATGCGAAAATGGGGCACCTAAATATGTCACTATCTGACGGTCTAAATACAATAATAGTTATTTACCTAGCAAATGCGGAAAGTGATACTTTACCGCACACAACGGCAGTTAGCCGTTAAGGGCGGTAAAGGCACTTTCCGCATTTGTTAGGTAAATAACTATTACGTATTATATACTTTTGAATTCTGATTTCAAATTGTTGAGCAAATTGCATTAAAACCTTCAGCATTTGTAGTTTTTATTAAGCTCTAAATGGCCTGGTAATTTACAATATTTCCAGATTTATAGTTTTTGAGCAAATTGAGTTTGAAGTTTTTGACAAAATTTGGACTAAAAGTGAACTTTGAGGCCCGATTCCTCAAAAACTATTCCAGCTATCGAACTCAATTTTGCACAGATTTATAGAAAATTTAATGCTTTTTCCAATGATGTATAATTTATTTCAATTTGCTCAAAATTTACCACAGATATGGGCAATTATTCATAACCATGTCAAGATTTTGAAAATTTTTCAGAGCTAGAATAGGATTTTCTTTTTATTTTTGTTTCTGCTTAAAATGGGCATTTGGAATTGATGTCAGGGTTGTTTTCCACTAATTTTGACCCACTCTTTCGATTAATCTACCATTACGAAATGTATGAAAACAGTCATAAATAATATTCTACACAGTGTGTAAAAAGTCCTGGAACAGTCAATTATTTTGAAAATGGTGCACAATATAAAAAAACTTCCTGTATAAAAGTTGAAGGTCTTAATAAAGTCTATTGAAATAAGACTTTTGTAATTATACAGGGTGGCCCAAAAAGTTGTGCTATACAAAACTTCATTTTTTTTAAATGGAATGATCCTTTTCTAATTCCTCTAGAGCAGCGTTTCCCAAACTGGGGGGCGCGCCCCCCTAGGGGGGCGTGAAGCAACATTAAGGGGGGCGTAAGTCTTCTAAAAACTCAATACAAATTTTAAGCTTTAAAACAAAAAATCAGTTTAAATTTAAAAGAAGATGTCTACAATCCGGCAACAGCGCATACTTAAGCCAAAGTAGCTTTGCCATGCGATCATTGCTACAGCGCACGCTCACTGGCCACTGTCATGGCCCATTCCTCCTCTCCCAAAGTCCAGTTCAGACGAGTGACAGTAAATAAAAAAAATGTTTTTGTATAATGGGTTAAGGAAGGGGGGCGCAACCACTTCTTGATTTCAGAAAGGGGGCGCAAAAGAAAAAAGTTTGGGAACCACTGCTCTAGAGATTCTAAACAACAATTATGAAACATGTCATATGGCTAAACCCATTAGTTTCAGAAATAATTTGAGTTGAAGGACATAAATACGATATTACCTACATTTTGCATTGTTTCGAGTTAGTTCAAAATGCTCACCAGACCTAAAGCCCCTTGATTATATTCTTTGGGGACATCTGAAAAATAAAGTGTTTGTGACAAAACCTGCAGATCTGAACGAATTGAGAAGAAAAATTATTGAAGAATGTGCATCTATTAAACGCATAAATATGTTTTTGCAGTAACTTTTTTTTCGGGTTTGGTCCAACGGCATTTCTTCTATTTTTAATTTTTATTTCTTCTTCTTCTGGACTTCTATCCACCCTCCCCTTATAGCTTTGTCAAAGTAATAGTTCAAGTTCAGATCCGTTTTTGGTCCCTCTTATTCAGCTTCCACCATTTCACTTGAAGAATTAGATACCTCCTCAGATTCAGACAACATTTCTGAATCTGACTCGGAATCGGATTTTCCAATAGAAATAATGAAAGGAGGAATATTTTTGAAAGGTAAGTCTCCCATGTATTTTGTCCAGTCTTCTGAAATAAGTCTGTCACCAGAGGCGATTTCGGCAAGCTTTGGTACCCTGTTTGGTCTGTCAAATGCATACCAACCAATTTCGGATACGAAAATGATGTCGTCACCGTGACTTTGGTATCCTTTTTGGTCTGTCAAATAGGATACCGTGGTCAGCAGCACGGTTCTTCTATTTGGTATAGCGCTATCTACGTCTATTTTCGTTTTGTCCTGCTCTGGGAAATGTAAATAAATGGAAGTTCATTAGAATTTGAATAATAATTTGAAATTTTTAGCAAATATGTTTGTTTTTTCGCCTTCATCTTCCTGTTTTCTCGTATGTTTTGACTGCCAAATAATGTTTGACTATCATTTAAAAAATAACTTTGAACGACAGATATGGGGTAACTTTTTTGCTGAATGGATTATGGAATATGCTTTAAATTTACAGAAAACGCTGAGTTAGCCAATAGGTTACTCAAAGGTACTGTTTAGACAGTGCTGATTAATGATTATAGATTTTAGTCAGTGCAGTCAGGGCCGAGATTCTAAAATCACGATTCGACACACGACTCGACAACGATACCGGCCTTGTCGTGTCGAAAGCTATAATTCCAATGAGATTTCTAACCTAGAATCGTCGGAAAAATCGTCTCGTTGTCGAATCGTATGTCGAATCGTGATTTTAGAATCCCCGACCAGTACCTAGTCACTCCCAAAACTAGAAGAACGACACAAAGTTAGGTTAAGGCTCGTCTCTTCCTCTCTCATGACCTACCAAACGAATTCGGAACAAAATGGTATCTTACGTCATTACTATGACGTTGCAGGTACCAATTGGTTAACCAAATGGTATACCAAACAAAGCTTGCCGAAATCGCCTATTGTCTACAAAAATTCGTCCACATGTCTGAGGTACATTTTGAAAGAGACTCACGCCATACCCTCGCAACCCTATCCGTGGATGGTGGCTGCGAAGTTATAGTTTTATTATAGAAGTTCTTACAAAACCCCCATGCCATTTCAATAGGATTATATTGGCAATGATAAGGAGGTAATCTAAGAACCTCGTGTCCGTGGCTTTTCAAAATGTCGTCAATTTTGTATTGTTTTGGTCTATTCCGAAATGGTTGAGTTAGGTCTCATAATTGTTTTTTGGTAATTTTTGTGTCGAAGTCTATGTTATATTTAACCAACCATTCCTGCATTTTGTCTTTCTTTGAAGAGAATGAAGGTGGTTTATCCTGCTCTGAATGATATGGAGCGTTGTCCATGATTATTACACATTTCTCTTCAAATAAATTCAATGCAGGAATTAGTTGATCAACGAC